CCTGACAGATTCCAGATCACTGAGACTTCAGACATTTCACTGAGGTAGTGAATTTTCTTGGGGTTTATAGCCTACACTCTGGCTCATATGTGGCTTATTAAGGCATCTAAAGTATCTACATTGGGTCCAATCAGTTTGATGTCTTTAATATAGTGAGCAAAATCTCTTCAGGCACGATTATGGCAGAGAGTGAGAGTTTACAGCCTATAGACAAGTCTGTAAAAGTGTACTATAGGTCTCCTCATATAAAAGTAAAACAACTACTGGTTCAAATTGAAATAGATAAAAAGGATATTTTCCATACCAGTACACACATACCAGGTAACTAGGGCTGTGTTGATTTGGTGCAGTAAAATAGCAGCACTTGCAATAGGTACTACTATCTGATTGTTATGGTTTGTATGGGAGGTGACCCCCAAAAGCTCAGGTGTGAGATAAAGAAAGAAGGGTCAGAGAAGAAATGATTGGTTTGTGATAGCATTAACCCAATCAATGAATTATCCCCCTGATGGGATTAATTGAGTGGTAACTAGAGGCAAGTGGGGTGTGACTGGAGGAGGTGGGGTACCTGGGGTGTGGCTTTGGAATATATGTTTGTATTTGGCAAGTGGAGCTTGCTCTCTCTGCTTCCCTCTGCCACACTCTTCTGCCACGATGTTCAACCTCACCTCAAGCTGGGAGGAATGGAGTCTACTGTCTTTGGACGGAGACCTCTGAAAGTGTGAGCACCCAAGTAAACTTTTTCTCCCCTAAAATTGTTCTGGTCAGACCCTTTACTCACAGGAGCGAAAAGGCTGACTAAAACACTGATTAAATTAACATAGGTCTTTTCATAGACCCATCTGCCTTCTATGTAAGCCAAACAGGTGAGTTAAATGGGGATGTGATAGTATCACCACCCCTGCGTCTTCTACATCTTCTTTGGTGGTATTGATTTCTACATTCTCCAGGGATGCACTTTTGCTTTTGGTTTTCTATTCTAACAGCAAGAGGAAATTCCAGAGGCTTCCATTTGGCCCATCTTACCATAATAACCTTCCTCTGTAGGTCAAAGAAGTGACGTGGGGGTTCTGCTAATTATTGAGTATCCCTACTTTATATATTCAATGCTGGGATCCATTAGCCAAGTAGGTATGACAATTTCCTTGCCAGCGTACCCCATGTTGCAGTGACATTGAATGTAGGTGACCTTGCTCAAGGACCAGGGCGGATTAGGGTGTTCCAGGTTTAGGATAATTGGGTTTAGGGCGTTCCAGGTTTAAGATTATTCCTGCTGGGAATAGGGCGTATCCTGCTGCCTGAGTTCCCCTTGAGTTCTCACCGGATTCAGACAGTATATTTGGGAGATAGAAGCCCAGTGGAGGTGGATTTGGGAAGAGAACGTGGATTTCCCCAGAACATGTTTGTAGACGGCTGGTGTGAGTTCGGGAATAAAGAGTTGCTGTTTGAATCTACAAGCTGTGTGGTGGCTCGTGATTGTGTGCCCAGCCAGACGGCTGCATTTGTGCCCAGCCAGACTGCGGCAATTCAAGAACTTGAAAATATGTAACTAGGGCTGGGGATATAGCTCAGGTGGTAGAGTGCTTACCTTGCATGCACAAGACCCTGGGTTCCATCCCTAGCCCCCCACACATAAAAAGTAATTAGAGTTTGGGTCTGCAGAACTACTGAAGCCACAGTGAGTTATTCTTGGGTGAAAACTCCATTTATCACCTGACTACCATAAATCCCCACTTTGATTGGTGGGCCTGGTAGTATTTTGGATTCTCAGAAATTAGCATAAATTCAGAAATAATGTCTGGTAATCCCTGAAATGTCTGGGTATTTAATTTCCTTTGTTTTAGTGGTAGGCCACACTAAGAAATGATATCAGATTCCTTTGGGGAAGGCTTGGATGAGCATTTGTAATATATTCTTATGGCAATGCTTCAGGGTCCTGCTGAAAGGGACCAACTTCCCTTTCAATCAAGGGCTTAGGTATGGGAACTGGATGAGAAGGATGACTTCATTTTCATGACTCAAGTCAGGTTTCAGGTGACAGACCTAGAGTTTTGCCTATTATGAAGACCAAGGAATATCAGAAATCTGTCCATCTATTTCATTCCTATGGCCTTGGTGGTCTACCACTTTGTCTCTGATGCTCATGAAAGTAAATGTGCCCACCTTGTCTGTCATTTAAGTGCTGGCTTTGGCTTTTGCCATCAAAGGATCCCATTATTATGGAAATCAGGGAGCCATCTCATTGGAAAGAACCCCATCATCATAGCCAGCTGCTAGAGATTTTCTGGTGTTTCTTTCCCTCACTAATGTATTTTACAATGCTTTGGTGTAAAGATAGTCATCTGGACCCTCTAAGGGCTCATTTAACCAACTAAACAAACCGTTAGTCACTTTTAATGCATGGACTAACACAGTAAATCCAGACTTGATGGTAGAGGCATCAATATCAATTATCTTCGCTCTATTCTTTGCTCTATATTTTGTTTGGAAGTTGACCAAGAATTGTTCAACTTTTCACAGCATCACACCACCTATGTCAACACTAATCTCAATATTTGAGTTGCTAATACTACACATCCATATTGGTCTGCATTTGAAGTTCTCTCATTTGCAGTGCTTCTGCATATAGGTGCAAGCATCTTACTGCTTTATTTTGTCCTCTAATAGAGTTGTCCTATATCCTTTGCCTGTTGAAATACATATTAATTATAACCCCTTTTTGTATAGTTCGGACATTATATTGATATTTGTGAAATTAGAATAGGTAGATAATATTATCTATGAATTTCATTTCAGGATAATAAAGGGAGTGTTAAAAAATTAGTTACAAAAAGGGGACACAATAGTGGTCCACTTTATGCTTTGAATATAGCTCTTGCTTCTCTAAAACTGACATCCCCCCCCCCACCTTCTCCTCCCTGATCCTCTTCCCTGATCTCCTTCCTAATCTCTCCTCCCTTATCTCTGGAAACCAAGAACACATGGAATGTAGGCTTTGAATCACCTCTTTAAAAACTCCCTGTTCCCCTTAATGGGCAGAATCACACCTATGGGACAGGAGTCCCCTGGGTTTCTTCTTTGCTAGCAAAGCAATAAAACTTTTTTTTTTTTTCTCAAAACCATGTCCTCGTTAATGGTTTGACATTGGGAACAAGGACCACAACCTTTCAGTAACAGGGATAATGGGTCTGATAAGGTTGACAACAGTCTCAAGATTTTAGGCATATGCATGCTTATGATGAGCCAAGGCAGGTCCTGAGTATATCCTCCAAATTAAATGATTTGTTATCACTCTTTGGAAATATGGCTATATTTAATCAGAAAATTCAGTGTCCTGTTCAGTTTACTCACGAAGCCATGCAAGGTGATACTAGTAAATAGATACACTAAGAACACCAGTAAGGAATTGCCTCATAGGTGCAACAAAAACATCTATGCTTGGAAAGGAGTCGTGGAGAGATTTTTTTTTTTTTGTGTGTGGGTGTGGGTACTCTCTGTGTCACTGGTGACAGAAGTGGTGGAAGCCAGCATGTTGCTTCCTCACTTGCCCTTGTCTGCATAATTGTATAACAATCTATAGGATTAATAAGAGGACCTTTGGGATTTAGCTGCTTCATCCACAAGTGGTTGGATAGTAAATGAACTAAGCAAATGCTGTCACTCTCTTCTCTCCTTTCTCATGTGAAAATCTTTGGGAAGGCACTGAAAGTAGGGATGAAGAACCACAGTTGGTTTGTGAATGAACAGGAGAGGTAGGTTTTTGATATTGATCCAGGAACTCTGTAGCTCTGCTTTGCTGTTCAATGCTGCCCTGCAAGTTTGCTTTAAGGCCTGCCAGGGGCATCTGTGGCTCTCTGGGAGCACTCCCTCTAGCCTACTTAACTCTTCCTCCTCCACATTTCAACTCCTGTTCTTTTCTCAGGGAAGCCTTCCCCCACCCACCAGTCTGGCCTGATTCCTTACCATGGTTTTCTTCTTAAACATCTTCCACCCCCACCCCACTGTGATCTCTTATCTCAGTTTGTAATCTCATTCATTAACACTATCTGGTTTATGTCAGCATTCTCGAGGGTAACTATCTTACCTATTTATGCTCTTTTTCTCTCTGTGCCTTGCCAGTGCCTAGTACAAGTACATAGCTGTTGAATGATTGAGGGTTTGCCCCGAATTCCATAAGTATCAACACTTATTATGATTATGAATATTGCCATTGCATTTGTATACCATGCTGACTGGCAACTGTCTTTTCTCTGTTGAAGATCATGATAACTTTGGATTTCGTAGAAACCAATCAGAAAACACTAAAAATCCCAGCAAGGTGGTAATTTAAGACTACTTTGCTTCTCCAGTAACTCAGCACCACCTATACCCCTGAACACTCAAACTCAGGGTGTTAGAACTTGAGGATGGTATGTATTTTGCTGGAAGGTGGCTGGAGATCAAGGTGAATGGAAGGATCAGAGCCCCTGGTTTTCCCCTCACCCCCCACCGAGTGTTTGAGGAGCAAACATTTGTAAGGCTTCCCTAAAGAATCACAGTGTGTCCAGGACCCCCCTGCACTAAACAAAGAGTATCAAAACAGTGGGCTCTGACTGAGGTGATTCTGGTTAGGGGAAGAGGGTTAGGTAAGGGGGTGTGACGCAGTCTCCCAGGTTACAGTAGGTGGCGTGTGTCCCCATCGGGGTACATCCGCGCGGATTTGCCCATGAGGGTGTGTGTATGAGAGAGAGAGAGAGACTAGCAAGGAAGCACCCGGGCGGTCTGGCCGGAGTCCGGCTTGCCGGGATCAGCGTGCAGGTGCGGAAAGCAGGCTGCAGTCGGGTCCCGCGGCAGCGCGCCGGGGGCCACCGGCTGCGAGGCGCGGCTGCGGGCGGCAGGAGGCAGCGTCGGCCCAGGCGGCGAGGCCGCGAGCTAGCGAGCCAGCGCGCGGTGATGTCAGTGGCGGCCCGGCTGGCAGCAGCCAGCACTTCCTGTATAAAGGCGGGCGGGCTCGGCTGCAAACCCCACTAGCCAGTGTCAGCCTCTAGGCGGGAGGAGGAGGGAGGAGGCAGAGGAGGAGCAGGGGGAGGGCTGTCAAATTCGGGAGCCAGATTCTTCTCCCTTCCCCTGGCAATCCCTTCCGCTTCCCCGGCTCCTGGCGTGACATCTGCAGACCGGGGACCTGTATGTGTGTGTTCGAGAAGGAGCGGAAGAATGGCAGTGCTCAAACTCACCGATCAGGTAGGGGGCGGCGGCGCTGGCGGGCGGGACGCGCGGGCGCGGGGCGGTGCGGAGCCCCGCGGGGGGATGGGGGCGCGGCACAGAGCGCGCCCGCGAGCTGTTTACTCGCGGCGCGGGGAGGAGTGTGTGCGGCCGCTGGGCGCCTCCGAGAGCCGGCGGCTGTGGCTCTCCCCGCTGCGCGGTCCCGCCCAGGCCATCGCAGCAGTGCGCTGGGCTCTGGTGCCTTGGTGTGCCGGGGGCTGGGGAAGGGTCCGCCAGCCCCTGGCGCAGCCCAAGCACGGGTGCGCCGGTATGCATGCGGGTGTGCGTTGTACACGGGTCATCACTAGGCAGGGGGAGGGGAGGCTGGAATGCTCCTCCGGCTCCTACAGTGCTGCGCAGCTAGGGCTTAGCCGGCCCGTGGCTGCCCAGGGGCTGCTCTTTCACGCTGGTGGGAGGAGGACAGTGGACGCTGAAGGAGAAAGGATCGCAGCCTGGGACCCCTCCTCAAGTCAAGCAGGAGACCGGCACAGACTGCCGTTCTCAAGTGGTTGGGTTGTCTTTATCCGTTTGATTTGACATCTTGACTTCCTCTTTAGTTGCCCCGAGGCTGTATGTGCGTAGTGCGCGATGGGGACACTTGGAGATGCGCTCTGGGCTCTGGCTGGTGTCTGAGTGATAGGTGAAGATGGGTCTGAGGCTTCAGTTCCAGGCAGTGGGTTTATGCTTATGTCCATCAGCTTTGTTGCTTTCCTTGCTGAGACACCACACGGGGCAGCTCTGGAGTCCTGGCTAAGAGATGTGGAATTATTTCCTGAATCCAACTGACAGTTCTTGCTGCAGATCTATGGGATGACACCACCTCTCCCTCCCTTTGCGGACTCTGCTGCTCTTAGGATACAGAACTCACAATCGCCCAACCAAGTTACACGACAAAACTCTTTGCATCTCTTCTCACAAAAAAAAAGGAAACAGCTTCCTCCTCCCTGCCCATCCCCTCCCATTTATTTGTGGATAGTGAAATGAACATTGTTTTGGGGGCCCTAGTAAGAGGAGAGGCAGTCTTGACTTTGATGCATGGGGTCAAATGTGCCTGCCCTTGTATTATATTAAACATCTCAAACTTCTGGAGTGGGTTGCATCTGGTTCCTCTTTTTTTTTCTGGTTAGGATCCATCTAGTATCCTGCAACTTAAATGCAATTGATTGAAAAAATATTTGCAATGATGCTCTGCCCTGTAGAATAAAAGTTTCTGGTTTGTTTTCCCTAAGTATTCACAGGTTCCTTCACCCCTTGGAAAAGGTACATAGGTCTCTCTTTTTTGGGGGAGGATGCATAAATCATTTAGTTAAAACTCATGCTATCATAAAATTTTAGAAGAAAGAACAGCATAATTGTGATGAATATACTTGTTCTTATTGGTTTCTGAGCATTTAAAAGTTTTTGTAAGTTGATATTTGGATTCGTCTACCCTTTGTTCCCATGCTTTGACAACTGTTGGACATTTGCTTTTTTTTTTTTTTTTAATCTTACCGTTTTAGTGTGTACTTTGCTGGTATACATTACTATCCTTGCTGTTAATTCTTAAATCTGCAAAGTACAAAAAAAAAAAAATGGTCCTAATAAGCATTATTATCACACATGAAAGAATTTCACATGGACTTTTAGTGTTGTAAGGATGGTAAAGCTGATCTCATCAGAATCTCTCACTTTCTAAATGAAGAAACAGAAATGCAGAAGGAAAGCAGTTCTTCCCCAAGAACGTAGCTATTTACCTGTAGATCTGGAACCAACTCCTATCTCCTGCCTTCCAGCCTCCTGTGCTTTCTGCTAGAGTTTGTAAAACATTACCGGATGTGTTGAAAGGGTTACAAGAAGCCACTCTTTCTTAAATCAAGATATCAAGACCAACCCTAGTGCAAAGTATATTACAAAAATAAATAAATAAATGAAGAAAGAAAGAAAGAAAATACTACTGGTCTTAGAAAGAAAGGAAATTATTCTACAGGGCTTATCAGTAGGGTTTTCAAAGATGTTTGTCTTATGTTTCTAAATCATCTCCTTCCTTCCCCCAGTAAACTAGAATTGCTCTGGAGAGAAAGAAAGAGATGCACAAATTTCATTTGTGCAAATCTGAGGAGTTCTAAGATTCAAGAACATCTGATAATTGCCAATCTGTCTTGGGACAAGCCTTTAGGAGACTGTGTGGGGGTGGTCTAGGCAGGGTGGTGTGGGGTGGTGAGCAATGGTGGTTTCTGTTTCTTTAGGCCAGATAGTGTGTTTTTCTTTCCTTATATAGTCTTACTTTTTCTGTCTGAAATTCAGTTCTTAGAAGTTGGTTCTTAACCTCACGTACTTACTTTGACAACCCTTTGGTTTGAGCTCTTTCTAGAAGAGTTCTGCTCTATCACTTTGGGGAGGTGCTGTACCTGTTTGGAATCCCTGCCTTAGAGTTTGTAGGAGAGGGCCTGCTCTCCACTTAATGATTGTAAGACAACCATTTCTTCATTCCTCCCCCATTTGTTAAATTTGTGAGGTGAATCTTATCTTTATGTGCCATTCTGGAGATTAAACCTAGGGCCTTGTGGATAGTAGGCAAGTGCTCCACCACTGAGCTATATTCCTATCCCTGAATCTTGATTCTTGTCACAGCTTTTGAATTTTTCTTTTTAGGATACAGTCTTGCTGTTAATAACCTGAGTGTCAAGTTGTCTTAGTTTGTCTTTTTTATTATTATTAATTTTTTTTCAGTACTGGGGATAGAACCCAGGGGTTCTTTACCACTGAGCTATATCCCTAGTTCTTTTGTTATTGTGAGACAGGGTCTCCCTAAGTTGCTGAGGCTGGCCTCCAACTTGTGATCGTCTTGCCTAAGCCTCCTGAGTCTCTGGGTATACAGGTATGCAGTCAATCCTGCAGTGATATCTCAGTCATGCCAGAGAAGGAGCATGCCTTTTTCTAAGTGTTTTGGAAAGTAAAAAGTAAGTGGGAAGGGAGAGGCCATTGTGGTTTTTAGTCTTTTATTTTTTTTAAACTATGAAAAGGAACTGGAAGCTATTGCTACAAACAAACTTGTCATTTTGCACTTCTGCATTTGTAACTGTGTCTCTTCTGTTTTCTTCTTTATAGGACATATACCATTTTTCTTGCACAGTGTTAGGGAGATCAACCATCCTAGTTCACCTAGTTTCTACCATTTTGTGCTAAAACTGGGAGATTTCCAGGCGGACTGGGAGAAATTGGTTACCCTATGCAGCATAGAACATTCTCAAACTATGTGATTAATATAATAGCATAATTATTTCCTCATTGGTGGGCATTAAGACATTTATTTATATCTTTGGAAAAGTGAGATAGTTGTAAGTTTGAGACAGAAGGTTTTTATCACACACACATGTAACACGGTTTGACTTAAGATAGCCCTGAAACTTTTTGCAAATTGATTTGATCATTGAACTTTTTTGGAGTGTTCCTTATGTCTTATAGTTAAGTCATTGCAGTGATTTAAATGTGTGGTCATAGCTTTAGCTGGGCTTCTTCTCCACCCCCCTCCCCCAATTTTTTTTTCCAAAGTTATAAAATCAGGATGATAAGTTCTTTTGGACTTCTAAAATTTGCTAGCGGCAGCAGAACACTACCTGCATCTCTGTGAAGGCTGTCGGCAGACAAACTGCTTCAACTGCTTCGGCAGGTGGCTCTTTTGGAGCTTCCTGCCTGGAGGCCTTCTGGTTTGGTGTCCCCTTGCCAAGTCCTAGCTCACCCTTGACTCACCCACCTCTTTGCCAAAGGCTGTGGCTGGCAGCTGTGGCAGCAGCAAGAGACTAAAAATCCTGTAACTCTGAAAGCAGGATTTCCACTCCATATAGTGTGGGGCTCTGGGACATGCTGTGTATTATACTGGGCTGCCCTTGTCCTTCCATTGTTCCCTAGAGCATGGTCATAAAGCAGGCACTATGCTGCAATCCAGCCTTCATAGAAGAAGCGAAAGAAAGGCTTTACTTTTTGGACCCTTGTTTGGTTGTTCTGTGACCTAGGCACATGGTTTGGGGAACTTAAGGCTGGTATTTCATGGCCTCCGCCTAATAGTGGCCTACATTTATTGTGCCCTTATTGTATGTTGGGCTCTTGCTGTGAATCATCTCTTTCCTCATAGTCACCCTAGGAAGTAGGTGGTGGTGTGATTCTTATTTTATAGATGCGAAAACAAGAGTAGGGAGGCTAATTGACTGGTTCAAGGTCACACGCCCAGTAAGTGATTGAGCACAGTGTCCTACCCTGGCAGTCTGATAGCACAGGTGCGGCTTTGACCACAAGGCTATACTTTTCATAGTTGAAGGGGCAGTGCAGACATAGGCTAATGGACACCCACTCTTATTTACAGGCAAGATATTGGATAAGCTGCATTCTGGGTATTCCTCCTACCTCTTAAGGTCAGACCCATTTCTGTTAGAATAAGGAGCTGCTCTGAGGCCTCTGCTGTGGCAGCTGTGGCAGCAGCAAGAGACTAAAAATCCTGTAACTCTGAAAGCAGGATTTCACTGTCACCATCAAGCCTGAGATGAGCAAACATAAGAGTCAGTGTATGACTCTATATGTGACCAAATGTCCAGGTTGACCTGGACAGTCCTGGTTCATGTCCAGGTCAACCCATACACTTGCTTGGTGTGTGTATGGGTTATGCCTGGCTTTTGTCATTAAGCCTTGCCACCTCCCTACTCTGATGAATGGTGTATTGGTAGCTTGGTGATTTTTTTTCTTGCTTATATTTTATATAACACACAAACTGTAATCATCGTAGGAGATCAGAAAGCTAGATAAATATAAAGACAACTCATTGAAGCTATCCAAAGTCTTTATACACAGAGATAACTACTTCTGACATTTTGATATATTTCCTTCTAGTTTTCTGTTTAGGTATCCAGGTACAATTTTTAAACTTTCCTTGTGATAATATCAGTATTTTTCACTTGTGTACATAGCTGATATCTATGTTCTCTTGACCAGTGGCTTTTCTAAATAAT